CTGTAAGATCAGAACAAGAGTCCGGGGCGACTGGTCTGGGACTGGCCATCTGCTGCATTATTTTTTTTTTTTTCCTCATCTCTGTCCACAAAAGGCAAACAAGAGTTATATGATAATATGATAATAGGAAGTCTACTGAAGCAAAACAGGTCACGGGAATAAGATAATATGTTCAATGACAAATAAAAGACCACTGCAGCTGGGCCTAGAGAAGATAGCTGAAAAATTGTGGGAAGCAAGGGGTTTTATTTTATCTATACACACAATACATGTACTTAAGACAGGGTTTCTCTGTTAGCCCTGGCTGTCTTGGAACTCATTTAACTTTGTAGACCAGGCTGCCTCTAACTCAAATCCACCTGCCTCTGCCTTCTGAGTGTTGGGGCTAAAGGGATACACCACCATGTCCAACCCTCTGAAGAAGTCATTTAAAATACAGAGCATGGTACAGCAGGAAGTAGTTTGGAAAGAACGCCCAAATTCCCAAATATTGTTTTCATTTAAATGGATTTTGTTATATAAAATAAATTTAAAAAATAAAAAAAATTTAAATAAAAAAAATATAGAGCATGGGTTGGGGCTCGAAGCTCAGTAGAGTCCCTGCCTAGCCTAGTATGCATGAAGCCTTGAATTCAAGTATCTTTAAAAAAGGGAGGCACCAGGGCATATAGGTACATGTAACTGTACTTACAAGTGACTGTTATTCAGGATTGTTTACTTGTAAAACATAAACAGCTGACTTACCACAGTGACAGATTGCCAGGCTTGTAATCTCAATTTAATACAAGATTTGATTTTATTTTTTCACTATGGATTATGACTGTGGATATTTATCTCCCATTGTTAGCTCACCCTCTTCTTAATGCAATCTTCTGTCTAAAGACAATGACATCATTGGAAGAGCTTTCAGAAGAAGGTGGGTCATGGCACAGGTAACTGGATAAAGGTCATTCTGCACTTGACAGCTAAAGCCAGAACAGGAGACCTGAGATTCGCTCACTAACTGGCTTGCTATCCTAAAGGGAGATGCCCTTTGTGGACTCTAACAGGTCTGTAACCAGTGTTAAGATACACACGCATTGTGTCAATGTAAAACAGATGCGTTCTCCAAGAGTTAATATTTGAAAACTTTTATTTTCTCAAATGAGCACCAACACATATCAGAAATGACAAACAATGCACTTCTCACTAATACTGAATCATTATGTACAGATACAGAAAAGAGGTGAAGACGATTACTTAGAAATAATCGCTTTTGTTATTGAAGCAATCAATGTGACCTGGGGCGGGGGGAATGCCAAAGAAAACCAAAAATGAAAAACAATTCTAATCCCAACAATACAGTTGTAAACACAGACAGACAGACCTGTGGTACACAAGTCTGCAGGCTGGGAAAAGGGAACTGACTCCCACCTTCACCAAAACACTGTGAAACACTGGGCAGAATTAACCCTTCTAGATAGAGACAATATCTTTCTTGGCTTTATCTTTTATTCTGGTACATTTCATGTCATTTTTAAAAATCAATCATGTCTTAAAAACAATTTTTTTTTCTACTCAGAACTGAATGTATTTTCCATTGAGGCAGATTTTTTGTTTTGAAATACAAATATTGTGTTCAAAATTTGATTTGCCAGCTTCTGCCTGAACCTGAAACAATCTGACCTTAAGGAAGAAAGAGAAAAGCTATTGTGTTATCAACATCCTTTTAACCTGAACCAGTTTAGTATGACATGGCTTCTATTAACAATCAGAGCCCCAGGATGTGTGACTGATCTGCTCACATCTCAGAAGCGTGGACTTGACTCCAGCCTCACCTTCACAAGTTTGCTTCGCCAGCTCTAAAAGCTGAGCACTTGAAGAAGGAACACTGGCCACATAGCTCCACCTCAGGGAAAGAAAATCCTGCTCTGTGCTATTGATCCATTCAGACATGGAAACCAGAGAGTGAATACTCTATGTGCCCAAGGTGTAAACTGTAGTCCATATAGTATCCTCAGTAGAAAAGGAAGCAGAAGAATCCAGAACTAACGAACTAACTAATGAATGAACACACACACACACACACACACACACACACACACACACACACACACACACACACGATTCCAATTTCTTAGAAGTTCTCCCAACTACAGTAATCACTAAGCTGTTACTTCTAAAACTTGTTTCTTTTCCAGCCAAGGCTAGGCAAGAAATTATCAGTTCACAACCTGATAGTTTACTACAGTCTGTTCAATTGGGGCAAAATGCAAAATGCAAAAAAAAAAAAAAAGTTTTAAAGCCTCAATCCATTTTAAAGTGACAGATCTTAAAACAAAAATCTTGCTGATGACTCTTTCCCTTAAAATATATTTCAAGAAACACAGAGGAAGCCATAGAATTGAAAATAAAAGTGCTCTCAGGGGTCTGAGAATACAGCACCAAATATATTATTTTAAAAAATTAAATATTATTTACAAAAGTATATTTCACAAGAGACTGTATATATACTTGGAAACCTTTTTATAAAGGGGACTCTGCTTTTGTACACACTGATCTCAGAGCAAAGATTTACTTTATCTACATAACCCGACTGTGATAGGTGCTGAGGCGGTACTCAGCCAGGCCCAGCTGAGAGCTTGTGGGCATCCAGCTTGGCTACACTCATGGTGATTCATCCATTAGCAGCCTAGGGAAATAAGAAAAGGTGGGTGGTGGACTACCCCAGGGTGCTCACGGCCCTACTGCCTACAGAGACACGGGGGAGATGGAAGGTGAGTTGGTCAGCTAGTCTTCAATAATGAAGGCAGCTGTGGCTGAGGTACAGAACTTCAGGCCCCTCCCTTTCTCTCTTCCCAACTCACCCAAGTCCACCACATCAACTCCAATTCCCTGAACCTACGTGAGGCGATTGGATGAGGTCTTTGGTTATGCTGAGTCAATAATTTGGTGAGGAAAATAAAGAAGAAACCAACCGAGGCCTTGAGTACGTCTGTCTCCATTGCTCAGCTGTGGACCCCCTAATACCGCCAAGTGTTAGGCAGACGAATGAGCCACATGAATGAGCTGAGGTCATAAGAAGCACTTTCGGTGTCACTGTCACAGAGCAAAGCCTACGAGCTTTGGTCCCACCCCAAACTAGTTATGGAAGAGCCGACACGCCACGTCCACACCAAGTATGGTGCCAGCCATCCACCGGATGCTCAACAGATAGCGGTTCAAGAAAAAGCCAGAACCAGGGTCCTACTGGAGCTTGCTCTGATCCAAGATGATCAAGTGGCACACTGGTCTCCTTCTCTGACCCTTGAGAATGGCAGGGCATCACATATCCAGGTTCTACATACATGTCACTAATTTTAGTTTTAAAGGAAAAAAAAGTCTACCTAGGTTTAATCACCCCCATCCTCTATTTTTTTTAAAAAAAGAAAAAAGAAAACTAAGTTCTTGTAATATATATAGCTGGGATATTCCCTGAGCAAAGGGTGTATATAATCAAATCCTTAAATGAAGGCCACTTCCCTCGGGCAGGATTGGGGGTGGGCATAACAATGCATGACTTCGGAGCCAGCAAACCAGCTCAGGAATGTGAAAGTGGAAAAATGTGTGTCACTGGAACTTAGCCTGGGAGCCACAGGAAGCAAAACTCTGTCCTTCTGAGGTTCAGTTAGCCCTGCAGCCCAGGAGGTGGGGCAGGAGGTTGAGCTAGTGTTCCATGGCTCTGGACAAGGAACAAAATCCTGTTTCTAGGAATCCTTTTGTGCCCCAGAAGAGGCGCAGCCTGCTGCTAAACGGAATTGGCCTGCTTTCTGCCACCCCGCTGTCATCACTAGCAGGGCAGGGCCAAGTCTCAGTTCTTCCATTCCTAGATCAGGACAAGGGAGGCAAAGCCATGTCCACCACAGCTCTCACCTGCTTCGAACTCAATTCTGCTGAAGATGAGATTTGGAAAATGTCCTGGGTCAGCTGCTTTAATCCAGGTCAATCAATTCTTATCCTCATGAACTCTCTTTTATTAGGTTTTTTTCAAAGAGGTGAATTTTCCTGTAGGACCAGCCTAGTTAGAGAATCATGCTGACAATTACCTAGTACGAATGTATTTTAACATTATTTTCTGCCTAAGAAATGAAATTAATTCAAATGAATTTCGGCCATGAATAGCCGAACATTCAGTATTGATTCAATGCAATGAGACTTAAGAGGGATTTCTCTCTCCATCCCTAATGGAAGGAAGCTTGAGTCTGGTGACAGGTGAGGGGGCACTATTGAATTTATAATTCTTCCCCACTGTTGAACCTCACTGTCAAAAGATTACTCTTCACATAAAAGATAATCAGGTCTAAGAATAATAAAGGCATGAGGGAATCTTGGGCCTTTGTTTCCCAGGTTATGATGGAACTGGAGGGAAAAAAACCAGAAACACTATGCACAGAGGTTTGTTAATCCCATGGAAGCTACTGCACAACAATGAGGGAAGATGCTGAGCCCATACTGGCTCAAATCTCAACTGTTCCTTCTCAAAACCTCTCCTCGCTCCCAGGCTCCCTAGCTCTTCTCCATTACATCTTACATCCCAAAGGTGGAGCTGAGGCAGGGGAGGGGGGCAGAGTCACTAAAACCAATGTGGGATTTATCTACTCCCCCCCCCCCCCCCCCACCCTAGTAGGACATTCTCCAGCTCAGGCCCAGAATGCCAGGGTCTGCCCTGTCAGCTGCAATCAGGCCATTGCTTGTGCTAATCTGCTATCCTGGCACATGTGATGTTAGGACAGAAGTTCATTGTCAGAGAACACAGCCATGAGGTATTTTTTTCTCTTTGTCCTTTTGAAAGAGTCAATTATTTCAAGCTAGGCCCCAAGAGCAGTACAGTTTTTCTTTACCTCGACCCTCCGTCCCCTTCCCCAACCGCAGACTCTCAGGTTCATCTTTGCGCTCCCTCATGCCCATGGGCCACCGCTCTGACAAGAGGCCATTAGGCAGCTCTCTCTTCACACGGTGGACTGCCACCACGAGGCCAAGGATCTGTTCTGTTCGTTATTTTGTTTTCAGCCAACACTAGAACAGAGAAGCCAAGATCAACTCACAAACAGATACAAAGCAAAGAGACAGAGAGACAGCGATTTAGAGGCCAGTCACCCAGAAAGATGGCGTCCGGGTGGGAGGGTGCCCCCTGATGGCAAGGCCCCTAAATGGATGGAACCAAGTGTTCAGTCACTCTCTCACGCTTGGGTAGAATGTTCAGTTGGATGGCATTCGTGTGGATGCTGGACCAGATGGATGCTGTCAGGTCAGTCCCAGCCATTGTCCTTGATCATGTGTGCTAGTTCAATGATGTATTTGCCTTCTTTATATTTCTGACTGCTTTCAAACGCATGTTCCTATAAAATGGGAAGAGAAAGGCAAAAGTTGGTGACTGCTGAGGCACAAAAGCGGGGATGCTGCTGAGGGGGGGCCCTGGGGCAGCGTACTGAGTTCCTGAACTGGGGGAATATCCAGGCGTCAAATCATGGCAATTTCTCTTCAATCCTTTTAAACCTCTGCCACTGCCTTGGCAAGTTCTTTCTCTACTGCTCTCAACCTGAAACCCCAACTGGGAGAACTCAAGTAAATTTCTGAAGCTTACTAGAACTCTGCCCTACAGATGTTATCTAAAATTTCCATATTACTTCTACTAGTTTCTAGGAATACAGGAGAGAGATTTGGGAATAAGACCTGCTGTGCCCATGTTTAGGGTGAAAAAGCCGAGGAGTAAAAAATACTCCGGTCCTGCTAACAGGCTAACAGAGGCTGGAGGAGAGGAGAGTGCCCTTAGGCTATACACTGAATTCCCAGCCAGCCAGGGAGACAGAGTTTTCCTATTATGTAGGAAACAAACAAAGCATGGGCATCTGTAGTGGTGTGGCTAGACTCCAGTGGAAGAGCCAGTGATCTGGATTGGTCTCTAGAATGTTCATTTAACCAACTGACTTGTCCAGTTCTCAACCTGTGCTCTGTGACCCCTATAGCCAACCTCTGTCTCCAAAAGCATTCATATTATGATTCATAACATAACAAAATTCCAACTATGAAGTATCAACAAATAGAATTTTATGGTCGGGGATCACCACAGCATGAAGAAGTGGATTAAAGGGTCATCACATTAGGAAGGTTGAGAACCAATGGTTTGTAGGATTGTTCTGAAAGCACGTAGAAATGCCGGACAAAGTCTGGTACACCAAGGTGATCAACGTGAGCCATCAGATGTCTCCCCACTGTCCAGTCCTCCCCCTCATCACGACAGGGAATGGGTCACATTCTTTTATCCTTCCTCTGGTTCTGGGGAGCAAACTCAGGGCTGTATACTGCTAGGACTATTCTACATCCCTAGTCAATAGCTTTTCATACAATTGTCAGATCGCTCAATGTGAACTTCAAGCAAACCAGCTAACCTGGGGTTTAGCTCTTGCCTCCAATCCAGCATCAATGAATAAGGCATCCAAAGGTCACAAAGCAGTAAGAGCAGAATAATAATATCCTTAGATGATCGGCACCAGAACTGTGACCGCATGCATGGTGGTCCTAGGTTATGGTAGGCTGAAGAGAAAGGCCCAAGCTGCAGGCCAATCTGGCCCGTGGCAAGACCTAATAACACCACCGTTGCTCATAATTTATTTCCCCTCAATAAACTTTACAATTTCTTAGCGCTTTCATTAGTTCCACAGCAAGGCTGGCTGGCCAGGATCCTTCTGCCACCACCTCACAAATACTAAAATTACAGGCTTGCACCACCACGTCCAGGTGGCACTATATTTGTTAGCACTCAAAAAGCTTAGAATGAGGACATAAAGCCAGCCAAGAGAGAGCCCAGTTTGAACCTCATCTGGCTGGAGGCTGTGAAAGCATTGTCTATAGACTCAGCACCCAGTCATTGGTCTATTTTGTTTGATGGCTGACTGACTCATTACTGCTTTTAATTAGAGACAGGGTCTCATGTGGTCCACCTGGGTCTCCAACACAACACAGACTTGAGTGCAGGGATTGCAAGTACTAGTTTTAGAGAGCCAGTGTTATTTTTTTTCCTGTATATGTATATACCTGTTTATGTGTACATGTACTTGTGCATACGGCAGGGAGAGAGGGAGAGGAGGAAGGGGAGAGAGGGAGAGGAGGGAGGGAAAGAGGGAGAAAGGAAGGGAGGAAGGGAGGGAGGGAAGATGTGTATTAGCCACAGGTGCTTTTTTGAGACAGAATTTCCCATTGAACCTAGAGCTCACCAAGTAGCTAGACTGGCTGGCCAGCAAGCCTCAAGTATCCCCCTGGGTTACTCCTACAGAGCTCTGGGATTACAAACATATTACCACATCCAGCTTTTTCCATGGGTGCTGGGGATTAGAACTCAAGTCTTCACTCTTGTGGAAAGCATTTGCTGCCTGAGCCATTTCCCAGTGTTGTTACATAACATGTCCCTACCACACAGTATGCTGTCAGGAGATGTTACCAAGTCCTGCTATAAAAGTATACATGTGCACCCACGGGAGTGTTTCAGGTCAGGTAAAGGAGCAAGCATGGAGGATTCAGTCACTTGTCATGGTCAAAGATAAGAAGAGCCCACAGGGCTGAGGGAAGCTTTTGGAAGAAGTCAGTCCTCAGACAGGAAGGAGGCCCTTTGCTATCGCTCCTAGCCCCCTCCCACCCAGGATCTTTCATACTCACATATTTCCAGCCCAAAGTGGTTTTGCAGTTTTCACAGTAAATGTCTGCAACTGCATGGAGTCCTGTTAGCAGCACCCGCTCTTCTGCAGGCCCACAGCCCACATTAACACTATGCCAAAAGACAGAAAGAGAGTGTGTTAGTCATAAGGGTAAACAACCATTAGTCATTCAAGTTGAGCTTCTGGCAAAAACTGACTAAACAAGGCTGCTCCCAGGGAACAAGAAACTGGTCTAAATCGGAATGAAAAACATCCCCTCTCGAAGGTAGCCACATGGAAATATCTCAGTGGGAATAAACTCTAGATCTGCAAGATTAAATTCTGTAGGTTTTTACCATAACATCATACATACCACTCTCCTTCACACACTCCTGTTTCAGGGTATGCTACGTTTCCTTCCACAGTTCATCAAGTGTCTGTGAGCTCTGCCTTCCTATTCCAGTGGCTATGAATCACATGCCCGTGGCTGACAATGTGTAGACACCCTCTACAGAAGGATGAGGCTCTTCTTAAGCCTGTGGCTCTCCCACTGTAGGCTCTTTTCACCCCAGCTTTCTTCCCTAATCCCAAATCTCAGGTCTGGCTGACTTCTGGGCTGAAGGGCTGGCAGAAGACACCCCCCAAGGTCTCCCTTGTGGGAGGATCCAGTGCTGGGGCACTGTAGTGAGTACAGTATCTTTAGTTGGAGGGGCTGCCAACAAAACTTCCCCTAAGGTAACTGACACTGACTAGGGAATGTCCCTGGGTTCTTATTAATATTACTAAGGCAGAGAAGGCAGAGGTCATTGCCAAATCATTGATTTAGTACCCCATTCCTCAAGAATTTCACCAGATATATAGATGCTCCATTCAGAGACACTCACACTGAGTTAAAGAGGTATGCTCGTCCTTGACTTCCCTGGAACGACTGAAATACAAAAAAAAAAAAAAAAAGCCAAATCAATAGTTAGACATCCACGCCCTGTGCCTACTTGGGAAACAGACCCCCCCAAACCACAACAAGCCTGACCTTCCATGCAGAAGGGAATTCCAGGCACCAAGGAGTCTAGCTGGTAGGAGGCATGGGGAGAGAAGGTGAGGGCATAAGAAACAGTTCCAACAGCGATCAGACCAGCCCATGTGTGGGCTGTTTTTCCCAGCTCAGGGGTACAGGTTACAAGAAAGCATCCAGGCTGGTATTTTGGTGCAGCCTGAAATACAAGCACTAACATGGGGTACATGGAGAAACACGATCTTTATTTAACGCCAGAACTCCAGGTAACTAAAAACCCCTCCATTCCTGACAGCGGATTCACTGAGAGGATTCGTCCACACTGCCTCTCCTGGTTTGACCATCTGTGCTGCTAACCATCACTCACACAGTCTCTAGGCATGGAAAGCCAGGAGCAACACTTTTGGCTGTCCTCTTCTTACTCAGATCCCAGCACAAGAACTTGTACTTGCTCGCTCGCTCGCTCGCCTGGCTCTGGTCAATTCTACCTGGAGCAGTCCGGCTCCAGAGGGGGATTCTAGGGTTCTGCTGCTGGTGTCTAGGTGGCTTGGTCTCTAGCTCTCAGAGATGCTTACCCAGCACAAGTCTCATTTCAACCTCTAGCTAGGGGCAGAGTGATCAGGCATGGATGGGACAGAAAGGAGCCTGAACTTGCCACGCAATCTGGCATCTATCTACTCCATTAATATAGGCCTCCTCTCGTTTCACTGAGCTGTCTGGCTGACATGAGCCAGCCATGCTCTGTATTGCTGCTTGCATTTTTAATGTGGTATGACAGTTATATCCCAATTTAACTTCCTAGTCAGCTGGGGGGGGGGGGGGAAGAGTGTAAAAACAGACAAGGAACTCTGAAGGAATCTGGGGCATCTAGTTGACAGATTACTAGAAGAGCCTAAGACAGCCATTTATTTTGTCAGAAGTGCGGGTCTTTGGAAGTTGGTAGCACTGGTCACAAAGAAAGGCAGAATTCTCGGAGACACTGCTACTGGATAACTGGATAGCTGGATGCCTCCCTGCCCAGGTGCAGTTCAAGGGGCAAGCAGATGTTCCCCAGCTGCTCTCCAGACCAGAACCAAGTCTCTCGAAACAGAGGGAGCATAGGACCTCCCAGGAACAAACGTGGAGGTCCCAGTGACAAAGCCTAGACTTTACACAAACAAGCTGCCTACTTAGGGGCCTCTGCTCCTGCTACTTCACCACTCTGCCCTTCAGTCTAAGCCCAGCCACTCAGTAGTTAATGCCCCAGCTCTGCCCACCCCGTTCTCTAACCTTCTTAGGAAGAGTCACCACCAACACTCTTAGTCCCTGTGCTTTTCTTCTTCTTTGCATCTGGATTTAAATCAAATTCCTTCAACTATGCTCTGAGTTTCAGAAGGCAAACTAACATCTCAAGTCCTTTGAACCCCTAAAACATAGGATGTGAACCCAGGACATGATTAAGAGTCTCACTATTAGGCCAGACTGGTCTTGAACTCCCAGCAATCCTCCTACTTCAGCCTTCAGAGCTGACAGGAGCATGGTTATGAACCATTACATCCAGTTCAGTCAGCATATATATTAAGTGCTAATTAATCCAAGTACTATTAGGCTGCACTAATTCATGAGTTCTGATACCTATATGCTTGTGAAGCTGTCACCACAATCAAGATTAAGGATCACCACCAGGCCTGGTGGCATTTCAGACAAGGAGTTTTGTTGAGGTAGGATCTCATTCTGTACACCAGGCTGGCCCACCTCTACCTGGGACTAAGACATGTACCATCATACTAGATTAATACATTTTTATATAAAACTCATTGGTGTCCATCATATCATGCTCCTTTCTTCATGTATTCTAGAAATACATTATATTCCCACCATCAAATAACCAGTTATCAAATGCATATTTACTCTATGATCTCAGAACATTACGAGGCATCTGTTTGTAAAATAGTCTGATTATGGGCAGATGTGCATTTTCTTTAGGGTAGTAGAATGTTAGGATTAAAGACACGTGCCACCCTACCTCACTCAGATCTGTTAGTAGAGCCAACCTGGTCTACATAAGAGTGTTCCAGGCTAGTCAGCATGACAATAGTGAGACAAAAAGCAAAGGACAGAGATCACTGAGTATCCATCATACCTAAGGACTTCCCTGGGCATCTCCCCTGCATCCCTTTCTCAATTATGGCTCTGCAGGAAATCAATGCTCTCTGACACCTCACACCTTATGCCATTTTTGGCTTGGCTTCTTTTACACAGAATAAGTTTTAAAAGATTTTTAAGTTGTATTTTTTTATGGGTATGTATGTAAATTGGTACCCTGAGGCCAGGAGAAGGTGCTGGCTTCCTGGAGCTGGAGTTATAGACAGTTGTGAGCTCTCTGATGAGGGTGCTGGGAACTGAATCCTGGGTCTTCTATAAGAGCAGCAAATGCTCTTAACCAGGGAGCCATCTCCTTAGCTTCTAATACACTTCTCTTAAGAATTACCCATGTTGATTTACAATCAGTTTATTCTCTTTTGTGCTAGAGTTTCAAGTACACAACCCAGACTGTCCAAAAAACCACTACACAGCAGCTGTCCTTCCTGCCTCCAGCTCTCAGGAGCTGGGATTTCAGCAGGCAACACCTCCGAGGCTCTTTCCATGTTTTTATGTTTTAAGCATGATCAGAGAAGTCAGGCATGGTTGGTACTGATGGGCCTGCCAGAGTTACAAAGCAAGAAGACCCTCTCTCAAAGAGGATAATAGGGAAAAACCAACTAGTGGTCATCATCTAGTATGAGACAAACAATAAAATAACATTAAAAGCAACACAAATTAAAAAAAAAAGCTCTGCTTATGTATATAGGTGTTTTGTCTGCATGTCAGCACACCAGAAGAGGACACTGGATCATGCACTGCCTTGTGAGTGCTAAGAATTGAACTCAGAACCTCTGGAAGAACAGCCAGTGCTCTCAACCACTGAGCCATGTCTCCAAGCCTCATGTAAATTAAGTTCACTACACTTCTACTTTATAGCGGCATATTCATGGAATCCGTGAATATGTATGGAAAACTTATGCTCAAGCATTTTGCTAAAGGCCACTGCACTGGGAATGCCCATTCGCTTCAGGGCATTGCCTAGCAGTAACTACTTCGAGTCTGACACAGATTAAAATTCCTAGAGAGCAGGGGCTTTGGGGTAGGGCTCATGGCAAAGAAAATAATCTCCTTAGGCTCAAAGGCGGTTCACAAGTATGCCAGGACATATCCTCCAGGCACGTCTGGTAAGAATATGCTGGCACAAGTCCAGGCCCTGCCAACGGTGCCTGCTAGACCCAGGCAGGGCTCTCCTGGTGGGATGTGTCTTCAGGCACGCCCCAAGAAGAAGAGTCTACCATTGCTTCCTCAGCCTGACACTCACAGGCAGCTGCATTTCCAGAGGCAGAACACTCATCTACCGTGGCTTCCAGCACTCCGGGGACCCTGCCAACTCAACATTTACGATGAGAAAGACAGACAGTGAGAACAACAGGCTTCTTGCAAATAGACACAGCCAAGAATAGCCCGGCTGGGTCACTGTATTCTGTGGGGCCCAGCCCAGCCCGGCCCAGCCCGGCACAACCTGGCACAGCCTGATGCTCCCTTGGGTGAGGGTGGTACCAAAGATGGGGAAACTGGAAGAGCTAAGGAAGCAAATTAAAAGGAGGCAATCAGAATTGAGACCAGGAGATGCCAGGCTGTCAGACACATTTGTTTGCTGTCATGAGAGCCAGGCAACAAGGCAGTTCTTTCCCATGTTGTGTGTCAACTAAGGCTGGTGTGCAGGCCTTCACCAAAGGTTTGGTTTTGTTCCCTTTTGTTTTCAAGCCATACAAAAGTTTTCTTCTGTCCTTTAAAGTACAGTACCAGTTGTGGGTCCAGCCCTTCCAGCTTTGAGTTTCCTGTTTAGTAGCCAAAACCACTCATTTCTGGCCCTGTTGGAAGTCTGGAAGGCAACAATTCCTTTTAAAAGTAGAACTGCTGAGGCTGGGTGTGGTGGTTCACGCCTGTAACCCAAACAGGCAGAGGGAGAGAGAGCGAGCAGGAGGAATGCAAGTTCGAGGCTGGCGTGGGTTACACAGCAAGACCCTGTCTCAGAAACAGTGAAAGAGAGCATCGGGAGGTGGAGGCAGCAGAATGCAGAGGTGTGGGGAGCAGATATAACCCCTGGGAAGGGACTGTGCCCTGTGTATCTACATAAGGTGTGAGGTCAGTCATCCCAGAAGACTCAGGTTCTAGCTCTGACCATGAAACCTCATTTACTATCAACTGACTCGAGCCTCTCTCAGCTCCCATTTCTTTTCCATTTGTGAATGGAAATCATGTTCAAAGGGCAGTTAAGGACAGTTAAGTAGCCAGGCAGTGGCTCACGCCTCTAATCCCAGTACTAAGGAGGCAGAGGACTATGGAGTTCTTTGAGTTCGAGGATACCCTGGTCTACAAAGAGTTCCAGGGCAGCCAGAGTCTGTAATAAGAGAAACCCTGTCTTGAAAATCAAACCAAACCAAAACAAAAAAACCCAGTAAGCTTCACGAGGTGAAAAAGGTCAGAGTAGAAAAGTTCTGTTTCTCAGGAGCCTGGGGAAGAGATGGAGAAACTGACGTTAAGTCTTACGGCTCTTTTCTTCAGTGACTTAAAAATGAAATGTGTTTTGCTTCTGTGTGTACATATGTATCACATGTGTGCCTGGTACCCAGAGAGGTCACCAGAGGGCATCGGATCCCCTGGAACTAAGGAGTTAGGGATGGCTGTAAGCCACCATATATGGGTGCTGGAAACCAAATCCAGGTCTACTTCAAGAGCACCAAGGGCTTTTAACAGCTGAGCCATCTCTTCAGCCCCTTTTTTGCAACTCAAGTGTCATCATAAAGGAGAATGAGGCCAGTGAGCTCCAGACCAGCCTGGGCTAGGAT